GGGGGGGGGGGGGGGGGGGGGGTTGTTGGGGGTGTGGGAGAATAGTTTTAACACCTGCTCATTTATTCCTATGTATGGTTTAATTAAAAAGCAAATCAGATTTATAGCATGTCAATAGAAAGTCTGTATCTTGACAGTAAAATACTACTCTTTTTCAATTGAACTATGCTGATACCTTTATCTCTGTTTTGCCTTATTGCATATTAACTTTTCCCCTCGGTTTACATATTATTTTACTACATCAATCTATTATCCATGGTCTTGAAGAACTTTTTATAAGGGACTATTATGCTAAATGAATTGCTATAGATATCGCTATACAATCTTAAGGTATCAAGGAAACAGTGTGGTTTTATTGTTCATTTAGAAGCTGAACATTTGCCGTGAAACATTAGCAATGTAAGGTATGTCTACTATCCTGCTATTTCTAGGGATGAGTGGAAAGGATTTTGTGCATTCTTTCAGTTGTTTTTATACTTGATTCATGTAGTCGTAAGTGTGCATTCTAGCTGTACTGAAGCAACATAGCTGCAGAAATTGCTGTTGCAGACTTGCGCGTGAAGATAAAGTGAGCAAAAAGTGTCTCAGAGAGAACTATATTTACTTATGAGGGCTATCATATTTGGGGCTAGGCAGGAAACCAGGATAATAGTGGGAAAGACAAGGGAGCAGATATGCATTGATCAGTAAGTTTACATATCAACATAGTTCAGGAGGACTTGCTGCTCTTAGGTCTGTCCCCACACATTTTTGCATTATCCTCCATTTTAGGAGAGCTAGATGCCCCCAAACTGTAAACTTTAACCGTGCTGTTTTGTTGTTTTAGTCGCATTCACTGTATTAAGCTTATCCAGATGCAATTATTGGAGAAAGCTGTCTTTCCTCCGTTACAGAGACATTACTAGATAGGTTTCTTTATATTTCATCTTCGGCTGCAGGGAAATTCAAAGCTGATCTGCAATAAGCCAGCAGCATGCAAGCCCAGATTCTACCATGTTCTGATATGGGCAGAAAATTAGCAAAATCCTCTTATGAGCTGCTCTGGGCACATCAGTGGATTTGCTGGAAGAGGGGCCCTGGCTCTCTCCTCCCTGCGTCCAGCAAACTAAGGAAATAGGCCCTGGGGTGCGACTCACACCCCCCAGGTTGGATCTAGATGTTTTTGGACGGGAGATACTTTGTTCCATCAGTTGTTCTAAATAAATGTATCTTCAGTGCTTTTATTTACGCAGATGTAGTATGGTAATAATACCTACCTCACAAGAATTGTGTGAGACTTCATTCACATTTATGAAGAATGGCAAGCTTTTTGCATGGATGGTGCTATGTCAATGCTTGTTTGTGCGACTGTTCTGAAGATGTTGGCTTATTTGCTCACGTTTCTGGTTGCCCATTTTTTTCTTATTGATGTCAGGCATTCTGAGGTGCTGAACCATATTAATGAAAGCTTTGTGAAAATATCTTTTGTGTATTTACTTGAACTGTCTTCCTTTCTCTTGATTCTTTCTGTGTTTGTTCACTTAGGCTTGATTAGTCTGCTTGTAGCTCTTGACTCTTGGTGCATCCAAGTGACAGAATTGAAGGGAATATAATTCCAAGAGGATGTTCTGCACTTAACCAATGTAGTCCTAATGTTTCCAGGATGCCTACATTAGTTGTAAGGGTTGAATTATTTATCCCCTTGGAATTGCCAGTGTTATCCATAATTGAATTTTAGCAATGGCTAACTAATAAATATGTGATCTTTCAATAATTAGATTTCTAAAACTGCATGTTCTAATTGCATTGAAAATCAGTGCTTAAATTATAGAGGGAAAGGTCAAGGGCCTAAGTGAAATCTGTGAGCCCCAGCTTTCGACTTCACCAGTTTTATGGAATCATAGGGCTTCTCTGTAACTCTTCCAAAAACAGCAGCTGAAATACAGCCCCCCCCCACCCCCTGTAATTTGAGCACTGCTGGTGGCTCCAGGGAGAGGGTATAAGAACCTTAAAATGCCCAGCTATCACATTTGTTAACAAGTCAGCGAGGCTGATCTGCATTAACAAAAAGCACGTACAAAATAGCTGTCACTTATGCAGCTCTGTAGCTTGGTGAAACGAGTGGCCATTTTTCCAGCAGTGAAGCAAATTGTACTCTGAATGGCTTTGGCTATCCCATTTTCCATGCCAAACCAAGTTGTTGTCTTCAGTTACAGCAACAAGCTTGAAAAAAGAGCTTGCTGTTTGCTACTTATGATGGTAGTGATGGTGGTTAGCATAATGTTATTTGTTCCAGGAAGAATAAACCTCACATCTGGGATTACCCCAATACTACATATAAAGGTTTGCCAGCTTTTGTTTCTGTCAGCTTCTGTGCCTTTATTAGTTTCACCTAGGCCTTGTATTCAATTGGTACCCTTTGTCCTGGCGCAAACATGCAGTGATGAAAGAAAGCTGCAAAAATGGAATTCTTTCCTGCTGTTAACAACTGAAACCACACTGAGTTTTGCCGGAAAAAAGAAGTGGAGGATGAGCAGGCAATTTCTCAGTGGTTGCGGAACATCAGCA